TTTTATTCTTGTTTATAGAAATTGCTTTTCGTGCCAAACAATTAAAACTACTTTTCCTATTTTCTTGTTAGGATTTTCATTAGCACATTTAAGTAAACTAACTCACTATATTAATAGAACTACCTCTCGAGGCCATAATCTCAATTGCTTAGCGAGCTCAGTAACACCGGAGGTGCTACAAAACGCTTGGTGCCCGTCTTCGCTCCAAGCTTGCTCTTCTTCAGACGTCTTGAAAATTCGTCTTCTACTTTTGGGGATGCAATTTTGCATGATCAGCGTTTAGCTTCTCCTACTAATACTAATGCACTGTCAAGTTCGGGTGGTGTTTTTGATGGAACAAGAACAAACGCGGCACAAAATCCTCAAGAATTGGCGCAACAACAGCGATATTTCATGCGCCCCCATCTGGCAATAGCGCGCGGCCCTAGGTCGGTTCGCCTGATGCTGCTCCTCGATCTGCTGGCGCTGGCACATCTTCCTCGGGATTGGCGAGTCAGCTGTTGTCGCAGCCACAACTGTCCACCCGTGCTTTTAGGCCACAGGTGATGCTGCTCGGATCTTCTACGCCGACTGTCTCGTCGCACGCCTCACCGTCTCCCATCTTTGATCCACAGACGGATCCCCGCGAGGGGGAGACAGTGATGGCGCTGGGTTCCACGGAGATTTTGTCTCTGGGATCATCTACGGATGCTGCTCCTGGTGCCGCTCCTGGAGCCTCGCCTAGTGCTGCTCCTACGGCCACAACGACACAGCGGCCCTTGACTCGACTTCAACAAGGCATCAACAAGCCCAAGACCTACACCGATAGTATGGTGCGTTGGTGTATGCATGCCAACTCTGGTACAGATGAACCCACAACACTTGGTGAGGCTCTTGGTGATCAGAATTGGCATGGGACAATGGATAGTGAACATCGAGCTTTGCTGCAAAATAAGACGTGCCATCTTGTTCCTTGTCCCAAGGGCAAGAATGTCATAGGATGCAAGTGGGTTTACAAGGTGAAGCGCAAGGCAGATGGCACTATTGATCGGTAGAAGGCACGTCTTGTTGCAAAAGGCTTCAAGCAACGATATGGCATAGATTATGAAGATACGTTCAGTCCTATGGCCAAGGCTGTGACGATAAGTCTCATCATGTCAATAGCAGTCTCAAGAGGGTGGTCTCTCGGTAGCTAGATGTTCAGAATGCATTCCTCCACGGAATCTTGGAGGAAGAAGTCTATATGCAACAACCACTAGGGTATGCAGATGAAGCACATCCAAATTATGTTTGCAAGCTTGACAAGGCACTATATGGGTTGAAGCAGGCACCACGGGTGTGGTATGCAAGATTATGCAAGAGGTTAGAGGCTCCTAGCTTTGTTCTGTCAAAAGCTGATACCTCTTTGTTCTACTATAACCGTGGAGGGTATAGCCTATTTGTGTTGGTTTATGTGGATGACATTATAGTTGCTAGCTCATCACAGGAAGTAATAGAAGCATTACTTAAAGATTTGCAGAAAGATTTCGCATTGAAAGATTTGGGAGAGTTACACTACTTTCTGGGGATAGTAGTCAAGAAGACGTCAGATGGGTTAGTGCTCTCTCAAGGGAGATATGTGGCTAATATTCTCACCCGGTCAGGGATGGACAAGGCAAAGATTGTTGATACCCCTTTGTCCACCTCGGAGACGCTTAGCCTTGCAGATGGTGACAAGCTTGGACCAGAGGACTGTACTCGGTATAGAAGCTTAGTTGGAGCATTGCAGTATCTCACACTTACACGACTAGAAATATCATTTGCCGTGAATAAAGTGTATCAGTTCCTTCATGCCCCAACTACGGTTCATTGGAGCGCTATGAAGAGAATCCTCAAATATGTTCGTGGGACTGTTGGCGTTGGGCTCAAGATCAAGAAGTCTAAGTCCATGATGGTTAGTGCATTTTCTGATGCGAATTGGGCAGGATGTGTTGATGACCGAAGATCAACGGAGGGTTCATTGTGTTTCTTGGAGATAACTTGATCTCATGGACGGCCAGAAACAAGCTCATCTCTCGGTCAAGCATAGAAGCTGAATACAAATCACTAGCCAACGCTCAAATTTGAAATGATGTGGGTTCGAGAAGTTGTTGATGAACTACACATCCATCATCCTCCGTGGTTCGGTTGTGGTGTGACAACACAGGTGCTAAGTATCTTTCGCTAATCAGGTGTTTCATGCCAGGATGAAGCACATAGAATTTGATTTCCATTTTGTCAGAGAGAGAGAGTGGCTCAACGATTGTTGGATATACGGTTTATCAATATCGGTGACCAACTAGTGGATGGGTTCACTAAAGCTATTCCTGCTGCAAAGTTGAAATAATTTAGAGTCAATCTTAACCTTGTTAGTGGCTAAGATTGAGGGGGAGTGTTAGATGATGAGTTAGTTAGTTTGGTGAATGAACCTGGACATGAGTTGTAGATGAAGGTGGTATAGGATAGATCTCTATCCAGAGTTTGTTGTAATCCATACTTGATGTACAAAGCCACGCCGAGGGCTCTTCCGGCTCATATATAACACGCAACCGAGATCCACGGGAGGGCATCTCGTTCTAATCACTTTTACAAAAATTACCTCCCTGGCATGATTAAAAGTGGTTTTTCCATTTTATAATTATATAATTATAGTAAATACTTAAATAAGGTTTTAAACTATAAAATATCTCTAAGATTATTGAATTTTGATAGAAATACCAGCAATAGATTGGGACCTATAAACCTAAATAAAAATATTTAGATGTCGTGAAAAATATAACTAGAAGCTTTTAGGAATTATATTTAACTCTAGGAATGGGAAGAATATCTAGGAAAATCTCAAAAATATCTAAACATTCTAATCAATGAATAAACGTGTTCCCAAGATTTTTCACAACAAAAACACATTCAACATAAATGTTGGTTTGAATGTTGATCACATCTTGTGTTTTATAGTAAAAAGTTTTAGAAACACATTTAAACATTAATTAAAATACTTTGGAAAAATCAAGTTTGTATGAATATTTTTCTCTATTGTTCTAGAGATAAACCTATTTTTATGGTAACTTTTCATATATTTTTGTGATTTTTAGATATGTTTTGGGTTTCTTCTTTCGTATTCTATCTATAGGATTTTTCTATTTTTTATAAAAAAACTCGACCCACAGGGTATGACAGCCCGGACATTGTGCTTAAGAAGAAGACCTTCTCACGACGTGCAGAGCTCATGTGAGACTGGACCAGACCTTAGACCTATGTTTTGACGTGGAACAGACGAGGGGATTTTTTTTACAATGCGCAAACTTGTGCATGCAGAGGTGGGAGTCGAACTCTCGACCTAGAGCTGCCCACAACGGAGTGCTACCAACCGAGCTATCAGCTTGTCCGCTTCTCAAAATTTTTAGAAGCGTAGAGATCATGTTCGTGGTTTAAAAACCTCATTAAGTATTTATCATAATTTTGAATATAAATGACAAAACACCCTGAAAAACCACTTACAGTCAGAGCAAAAAGGTAGCATCTCCAAAGAGTTCCTAATAAAGTCTCCCAATCTAAAATTTTTGACAAGAATGGAAAAAACATATCTCCAACAATTTTCAATTCCACCTCCCAATCTTTCCGCGCTTAGGAAAAATAGACCAATGGTGCGTGTATATATCCCCGTGCTAGACACGCGTATCCATTAGCTAATCTAAAAGTGAAAGGACGTGGAAAAGAATAAGGAGTAGGAAAGGATTCGTGATGCAAATGTACAAGAGAAAAAATATATATAAAAGTGGTTACGATAGTTTCGAAATAGTATATGATTATCGATATAAAATTGTTTTCTATATTTTAGGAGTGAATTATTGAAAACTGTTGGAGATGATCTTATTAGTTTGTTCCAATAATTTTTGACAAGTTAGGAAAACTCTATGGTTTTGAAAAGAAATTGTTGGGAACTCTTGGAGATGCTTTTTTTTCTTGATCGTAGCATTAAGTATTTTTGGCGAGCTATATGATGATCAGATTTATAAGTAAGTATATATTGTAAAATATGAGCAACACCAAATCCTTCTAAAGCCCAAACTTTCATTTCTCCTGTTAGTTTTGAGATTGAGGCAGGCGAGTTTTTTTTAGCAAAATTTGAGGCAGGCGAAGTGAGAACCTGAACTACGACGACATTTTAGTTTTTATTGGAGGCAAAAATGACCTCCCCTGGCTGGAATGCAGCAACAATCGGCCCCTTACATTTTCCTTGGAGATTTAAACCCGCTGGATGGAAATCAGATTCCGCAAAGCCCACTCTGATTGCCGAGCCTTCGATCCAGGGACCATACCACCTCCGGCCCACTGATTCTCCATAGGTAGCCAGCAATTGGAGCAGTAAAATTAGCTCCCTCCAGCTCAAGGAACGCCTTCGATTGGAAGTCAAAACACATGGGAACAACGGTAGCCATTCAGCGCGTGTTTAGTTGGTACCCAAAATTCAAAAAAGTGCTATAGTATTTATCATATCGAATCTTGCGATTTGTGCATGGAGCATTAAATGTAGATGGAAAAAAAACTAATTGCATAGTTTGGTCGGAAATTGCGAGACGAACGTTTTGAGCCTAATTAGTCCATAATTGAACACTATTTGCTAAATAAAAACGAATGTGCTACAGTAGTACAAATTCCCAAATTCAGGAAACTAAACACGCCCTCAACGAGAAGCCAAACACCGTGCCCCCCTCATCATGCTTTTAAATAGAGAATGGTGGCCCCGTACGCATGTCTGTCTCGTCTCGTGTTCGCACAGTTCAATCTCGCGGCATTCCCACGTCGAGAAGTGCCTGATGGCCGTCATGGCGCAGAAGACCGTGATCCTCTACCCTTCGCTGGGAGTCGGCCATCTGAACCCCATGGTGGAGCTGGCCAAGGTCTTCCTCCGCCGTGGCCTAGCCGTCATCATCGCTGTCGTCGACTAGCCAGACAAGGACTCCGTGTCGGCCGAGGCGCTGGCCCACCTCGCCGCCGCCAACATGGACATCGCGTTCCGCCTCCTCCCCGTCCCGTCCCGCGGCACGGAACCTTGCTCTCACCCGGTCATGCGCACCATCGACGTGCTCCGCGTCGCCAACCCCGTGCTTCTGGGCTTCCTGCGTACGCTCACCGCTGTCGACGCCATCGTGCTCGACATGTTCTGCATGGACGCGCTCGACGTCGACGCCGAGCTCAACATCCCGGCGTACATCTTCTTCTCCTCCGCGCTAGGCGATCTCGCCATCATGCTCCACATGCCGTACTACTACCCTACCGCTCCGTCCTCGTTCAAGGACATGCCCAAGACCGTGCTGCACTTCCCTGGCGTGCCACCGATCCGCGCGCTCGACATGGGGGCGGCGATGCAGGACCGGGACAGCGACGTCGCCAAGGCACGGCTGTCCCAGTGCGCGCGCATGATCGAAGCGAGGGGCATTCTCGTGAATAGCTTCGACTGGCTGGAGGCACGGGCCCTGGAAGCGCTCAGCCGTGGCCTCTGCACGCCGGGGCGCTCGGCTCCGCCAGTTCACTGCATCGGACCGCTGGTTCTTCCCGGAAACAGGGGAGGGGCCAGCGAGAGGCACGCGTGCCTGGAATGGCTGGACACCCAGCCGGACCAGAGCGTCGTTTTCCTGAGCTTCGGCAGCCTGGGGAGGTTCTCGGCGCCGCAGCTGAGGGAGATAGCACGTGGGCTGGAGAACTCCGGGCAGAGGTTCTTGTGGGTCGTTCGGAACCCGCCTGAGCACCGGAGCAACTCCGTCGTGCCGGACCTGGAGTCGTTGCTTCCTGAGGGTTTCTTGGAGCGTACTAGGGAAAGGGGATTCGTGGTGAAGAACTGGGCGCCGCAGAGCGAGGTGCTACGGCACCGATCCATCGGTGTGTTCGTGACGCATTGCGGGTGGAACTCGGCGCTAGAGGGCATCGCGTCTGGCGTGCCGATGATCTGCTGGCCGTTATACGCGGAGCAGAAGATGAATAAGGTGCACATGGTGGAGGAGCTGAAGGTTGGCGTGGTGATGGAGGGGTACGAGGAGGAGCTGGTAAAGGCGGAGGAGGTGGAAGCAAAGGTGAAACTGGTGATGGCGTCTGGGTCCGGCGACGGGAAGGAGCTTAGGCCACGTTTAGTTCCCCCAATTCCAGAATTTGACACTATGTAAAAAGAAGATTTTCCATCATATCAAACTTGCAATATATGTATGGAGTACTAAATGTTGACGAAATTAAAAACTAATTGCACAGTTTGTTTGTACTTTGCGAGACGAACGTTTTAAACCTAATTAGTCAACGATTGAACAATTATTACCAAATAAAAACAAAACAGTACTGTAGCTCATCTGAACGGCCATGGAGATGACCGTAGAGGTTCTCAAGGAAGGTGGCTCATCTGACCTGGCGTTTGACGCGTTCTTGACAGACTTGCTAAAGAACACCTGTACGGAGAGTAGTGCTTGTGAGATGTGCAACGGTTCTCTGTTTTTGGATTTTGACTGCCTTTCCCAGATTGTCCAAAAAATAGCTGGGAAGTGAAAGAATCATTTTCTCCGCCCCGGGTCTGGGTGCCCGTGTACGGGCCTGGACATGCCCTACATTAGCGCAATATATTCTGCAATTGTGGCAATAAGATTTTAAACTTTGCTAAAAAAAGATTTTAAACGACTTTTATAGCAGCACTTTGATGTGTTGCTAACCTGTCATTTACATTTTGCACATATGTACGTGCACAAGGAAAAACAATCAGGATGTATCATTGTTGTTGTTTTTTAGATCCGGAATTTCTGGTATGTATTAATAAGAAGTAGAGGCTTGGTCTAGTTTATGAGCAAAATCGGGTTCGAAAACCGGCAAACACTATTTAGAAATTACACTGTCTACAACTATCACAACATATGATGAAGCCCATTATAGTCATCATTGCCAAGCTTTTCCTAATGATAAGCAGTTTTTTTAACATATAAGCAGTTTTGACTTCACAGCGAATCTCAGCCTTGTCTTAAGCTTAGAGCAACAATGAGACAAAAACTTCGTCGAATCATCAAGTGGCTGCCAGGTCCAACACGTCTAAATACGAAGTTTACCACCAAAGTCCTTGTTTTCAACCATTGTCCAAGACCAATTACAAATATGAGATATCATTGGTTACACCTCTAACCCACGAATGGGCTAGGTTATCGCCGTAGAAACCCGGCAAGGTAGGACTGGGTGAACGGAGGAAGCGGTACCCATAGTCGTCTCTATTCGGGCTTACACCTTGACCTCAACAGGCCAACCCCTCTCGAAAGCAGTTGGGCCTAGACATGCTGAAAGGACCGCTTCGATGCCAAGAGGGGGGTGGGTGAATAAGCTCTACAAACTTTTAAGACAAAAGTTAGCATATAAAATCTTTACAACACAGGCAAACCCGGTCAGACCAGGATCACAACCTGGTCAGGCCAACTCTAGGTCAGACCGGGATCATAACCAGGTCAGACCGGGATTGTCGGTACTTCCGGTAGCTATCGGAAGTTCCGACACTTCTGCGCCCAAAAGTGCTTCGAGCCTTTTGCCCCTTAATGTAGATGCAACTTGGAGTATAGAAATGCTTATAGATATGTGAATGATTTCACACAGCTCCTGCAAACACAAATCACCACACTCAAGTAGCACAAGCGGAATCACAAATAATATATGCAATGTAAACAAGTGTGAGGCAAACCAAAGGAGAGACGCGAGGATTTGTTTGACCAGAGTTCGAAACACCCAAAGGTGCCCTATGTCTCCATTGTGAAAGCCGGTGAGGACCCAACCAAGGTCAACTCGTGGCCGGACCCGAAACGGTCTCTTTCCACCAATTTCACTAAGGAGAGTCTTCTTTCCTCTTTTAGCGGGAAGACGAGCCCTTCTTACAATGGCCACCACAGCAGCCCACAACACCCTCGGGCGCTTGTCGGTGACACTTTGCCACCTAGGAACAAACTTCCAAGAGAAACGAATGCAACAAACCGGAATTCTTCAACTTGCTCAAGTGCTCAAGATTGGGACAGCTCACACAATGTCTCTCAAGCTCTCTAAAGCCACCAAGGCAAGCTCACAAAGATTGGCTCACTCTCTAATCAAAGAATATGGAAGTTTGGAGTTAGAACACTCACAAAGAGGAAGAGGGGAGTGGCCAAGTGCTTCTGGTCTTGTGTGGAAGTGGGGAGAACCAGCAACAACAAAAGAAGGAGAGGGAGAGGTATAAATAGTCACCAAAGCCAAACTAGCTGTTGGGCTGAGTCAGCAAACCCGGTCTGACCGGGATGAGAACCCGGTCTGACTGGGATTCAAACTGAACTAGCCGTTGGGCTAAAGTCGGTCTGACTGGGTTGAAACCTGGCCTGACCTACTCCCAGTCTGACCGACATGTCATCCTGGTCTAACCGAATTTGGCTGGCAAGCTAGAATTTTGGAGTTTTCTCTCACTCTTTCTTTCTCACATGGGATAACTTGAGCACTGTTATTGCTTGTCTCAAACTTCAGTGATGCGTCCCTCTTAAGTGTGGCAAAACTCAACTCAAATAAATATAAAAAGATTTGAACCACCAATTGAGCTTTTCTTCAACTTAGACTTGATTGCCACTTTGATCATGCAATGTTGAGGGTCTTCATCACTTCAACTTCTTGTGCTTGTCCATCTTGAGCATGTGACTCATGTAGAAGGTTTCAAGTCACAATGAACATTTGATTTGATCTTCCACATTGATAAACACCACTTGATTAGTGCCTCAACTAAATGCAAGTAAATTCCTCCTTCACTTTTAGCTAGGTCCATCGACTGCCAAGTCGTCGCTTGCCCTTCACCTTTGGCTTAGTACCTCAAAGAGATTTCCTTGCTATCTTCACCTTCTCAAGATTAACATGTCTTGTCAATGCTTCTAACTAAGATATGGATACCATTTGATTTGCATTGTTGTCTTGTGCTTGAACTAGATTGTATCCAATAATCCTCATAAGCTTGACAACTATCTTTGGTATTTGTTCATGCAAGCTTTATAGTTGAGACCATTGCATATGAAACACTTTATGTCTCATTTATTTGATATCACACTTGCTTGCAAAACCTTGCTTCATATAAACCTTGAACTTAGTTTGACATTTATATGATCACCACACATTATATGAGTCCAACACATAATAATTCACCTGGGAGAAAATACCTACAAGTCTTATAAATATTATTAGTCCCTTAATCGTGTTGTCATTCAATGCGCCAAAACCCACAAGGGCCTAGATGCTCTTTTTCACATGGTAGTAGTAAGGTTGCTTACCAACTACAGGAAAACACCCTCGGTGGCAAAAACAGCATAATGCAGGGAGAAAACACAAAGGACCCAATGGAGACCACGAAGTTGATGCGTATTCACTTGGTTTAAACCACCCACTGCCAGAGTTGACCATTGAAAGGTCCTAATGGCTAGAAGGGGGTGAATAGCCTATTAAAAAAATCTACAGCAACACTAAGCCAAATGGTTAGAAAAATATGAGGCGAATCAAGTTTTGCGCTAGCCTACTAAAAATACAAGCCACCTACCACAATTCTAGTAGCTATAATCTCTATGTCACACACAAAGGGCTAAGTCACTACCTCTAAGTTAGTGAGCTCTCAAAGACTAACTAAAGTGCCTCACTAACCACTAACAAGACACAAGCTATCTCTCAAAACTAATTACACTAAAGAGCTTAGCTACACTAGGAAAGTAATGCAAGAGAGGTAGGATATACCGCTGTGGCAAGTGATCAATCACAATGAATACCAAGAATACTAAGGAGACAATGATGACACAATCAATTTTTCCTCCGATGTTCACTTGCTTGCCAGCAAGCTAGTCCCCGTTGTGTTGATTCACTCACTTGGAGGTTCACGAGCTAATAGACCCACACGCCTAACCCACAACTGGGTGCCGCACAACCAACATAAGATGAGGATCCACAAGCCACGCGCAATCCACTAGAGTTGCCTTTGGCGCTCCACCGGGGAAGGCACAAGAACCCCTCACAATCACAACGATTGGAGCCGAAGACAATCACCTTCCTCCGCTCGATGATCCACCAATCATCGGGCCATCTAGGTGTCGGTAAACACCAAGAGTAACAAGATCTCCACCAGCCTAAATCACCTTCCTCACTCACTTGGAGGTTCCACAAGATGCTAGACCACTAAGCAACGCACTAGAGGCTCTCCAATCTCACTCAAGATGATGAAATCAAGTGTGCAAGTGAGTGGAGTGGTGTGGTCAGCTCTCAAAGGGTGTATGTAGCTGTTAGAAGTGCCAAGAGGGTGGCCAAGTCCAGCCACCACCTCTGTTTATAAGCCCACAAGCAAATAGAGCCGTTACCCCTTGGAGCCAGCTTCTACAAGGTCATCGGACACGGCGGTGGTGGCACCGCCCTAGGGGTGGTGGTGCCTCTCAACGGTCGATTCCAACGGCTAGTTTGACTGGCCATGGTCACCGGGCAGGGTGACGGTGGCACTGCCCCTAGGGTGGTGGTCACCACCCGGCCAGCTACCCAAAAACACTACCCTTTGGAAAAAAGTGGCGGTGCGGCACCCTCAGGGCGGCGGTGACCATCCCCAATTCACCCAGTCTTTAGAAAAATACGACGGTGGCACGGCCCCACCAGCGGCGGGGACCGGGCGGTGCACCGCCCTCATAGCGGTGGTGTACACCGAACGCAATGGTGCCTGCGTGCACTTAGCTGCTTCTCGGCCACGTCCAGGTGGGCACCGCCAGGTGGTGCCACTGGACAGGGTGGTGGTGCCCCACCAGAGCACCCACCTCTCGGCCTCCTTAGCTAGTCATTGCCATAGGGGTGGCGGTGCACTAGACAGGGCATGGCGGTGCCCTCGGGGCAGCACCACAAGCCCGGCTATGGCTCCTTTTTCTTTGCCTTTTTCACCACCTTTGCAAATGTGCTAACACTCCAAGTGTTTCACCATCATGTGCAAGTGTGTTAGCATTTTCACAATCATTTTTCAAAGGTTAATCACTTTCTCACCGATTGTGCATTAGACCTAAAATGCATATGCATGTTTTCCAACACCTAGTGGCACTAGATGATTGAGTTGTCCGATAAGAGCTCCCCTCTTAATAGTATGACCATCTATCCTAAATGTGATCATGCTCTCTATAGTGTCTCGATCACCGAAAACAAAATGGCCCCATGGATATCACCTTTGCCTTGAGCCCATTTTATTTTTCTCTTTCTTCTTTTCCAAAGTCCAGAGCTTGATCATCACATGTGTTCACACCATCACCATGATCTTCATGTCATGTGGCCATCTTGAAAGGTCCTTGTTTGGTTTTGGTAATTGAGTGACAACCTAGGTGGACTAATTGTGTTTAATGTGAGATACCCAGGTGATTAGTCCATAGGTACATCATGTGTGAGCAACCTTTGCCATGGAGATGAAATGGCTTGGAGATGTTGC